TCCCATCACAAAATATCAGTCTTCAAGTGAAATCTTCTTCCCAATTGTATTATGAATGCCCATGTATCTTCATTTACATGAATCACTTTTCTCTTCACTGTTCATTAAAAAAGAAAAGATTATTAAGCATATTAATTGGATGAACGCACTCATTACAGGTCAGACTGGCAAGAACATATACTTTAACTGGCAGAGCTAGGTAGGGATTTGTGTGTGGTGTAAGTACTAGTGGAATGTAACCCGTTTTGATCTGCTTCGCCCTAAATACATCCACATTTAGATTTCTACCTGTAAGTCTGATAAATGACAAATCTGCCTCATCATCTATTGAACCACTCATTATCAGCGAAAGATCATTACACACCAACGGTCTTCATCATCTTCAACTTATTCCTCACCTCCTATTCTTAAACCTGCTTGTTGTGCATTATGTTATACGAGGGAGTTCCATTCTTGAGTTGATAGTCGATTTCTTCTCTTTGTTTGCACTGACTATATGGTCTCCAATTTTGCTCAACCCAGAGCAAGAACAGTGGACGACCAACACTCTCACACAAACTCTGTAGCTCAGGGGTGGAATCACCAAATTGGATCACCATTCAACTGTTCAAGAAGAAACATATAAATCAAATTCAGACTGAATAAAGTGGTAATTGCATTACCAATTAATTAATACTGGAGACCGTTTAGAAATGGTAGTTTTTGCTGCATTTCAAAACCAAAAAAACCCTCTTTATTCCGGGACAGAACAAGCCTGTAAATCTGCAAGCTGCTATCCTGCCTGCTCCGGTATAATCTTTCGCATACAGTGATATAAGACCAAGCTTAACCTCCGATTTGAAGAATTTTTTCTCTGAATAGAAAATTGAGGGTTAAGATAAATGCAAGCTCATTGTAGATATCGGTGTAACTGCACTCCCCCGAGCATCATCAGATATTCAAATCTTACCTATATTGTCTCTCTCCTCCGCAAGTTTATGTGCAATCACTCCTTGCCTCATCCAAGCATTATAAATAAAACCCATAGCTGTTTCTCTCTGCATCCACTAAAGCGTAGAACTTGCACTAAAGGGTCCTCGTGCTCAAAAATGGCATAGGTCACAGTACCTAAAATTTATCTCAGATATCTTTCTTATCTCCTTTCTCATCTTCTTCCCCAACAGAGTTTAGGCCATTCAGTTGAATGTAAAACAATGGCTTCCAAAAGGTTGCTACCTCCATCAAGCTCTGCACGTGTCAAAAATAGGAGGTGGCAAACCTATAGATTCACAGTGCCCATGTTAAAACTACAACACATACAGTTGGAATGATTTACAATGTAAAAATATTAACATACTAGTGGTTGCAGGTCGACATGATTTCTTTTTTGAAAATTTTCTCATTAAGCTTAAGACCCAACGAGTGATTGTAGATGAATTTTGTAATCTTCTTCGCCCTAACAAGAGCATCTTGTGCTGGAGGTAAGTACAAGTCCTCCAATATGAGATCAATACATGTTGCTGGCGCAAGGGTGTCCAATGAGGTGTGTCTCTCTTCTCCATCAAACCATCTGACACTGCTTTGTATGCACTGGCATTATCGTCATACTGGACAACCAACTGCTCTCCATCTCCTAATAACTCCATCAAGTAAATTGAAAATGAAATGTAGCATTTTCACCTCACAGACACTTCAACAAGATCTTAAGAATCACTGTACCATGGGATGGTTGACAAGGATGTTTAATCAAATCCTACTCTCAATGTCAGCCATCCATCTGACATTAATAGTCACACTGTCTATCCATGTCCTTTCTAAAATCTCATAATGGTTCGCTCGGCTGGTTGTCTGCAAACTCCTCTTTTAAAATCCAAGTGCGCAACTTCATACATAGAAGGCTGCTTTTCACCCTCTCCATACAATCGCAGACCGCAACATAACTGAAGTAGCAGGCGAATGTAGCACATTAAATGGATTGCATTTTCAAAAAAGAAAACCTCCTCAATGTCATAAGCAACTGTCGCCGACCCTCTCTAGTACAGCCCTGCAGGCATCATGCTCTGCTTCTCTCTAATCTGCTCCTGCAAGTAGTCAGATGTACTGATCCATAGGACCCGCGTGCAACCTCTATTTGTATAGTGGAAGAAGACCCTTTCCACTCTCGGCTCCCGAAATAAAGCACCTTGGTCGACCTTCTTTCATCATAAATTGCTGTTGTTGTAAGTTTTTGACAGTGGTACTTTTCTTCATTAAGCATTATTTTTCCTTCCATGTGCCGGGCACTTTTGCAACAAGGTGCTAACCGTTCTTGTGAGAGCATGATAGGCTCCTTTCGGGGGTTACTCCCGCCCTTTCACAACTTTCTCAACAAAAGTTGCACTTTAAAATAGACATAGCTTCTTCTCGGCCGCAATGTCAACCTTGTACACTATACTTCCAAGAGAGGTCTCGCCAATGAAAGCACCCTTTTCCTTGCCTCTTACCATGATCCCTAAATGAAAGAATCGAAAATTAACAAAAAAGATTCAAAAATAAAACCTAAAAAATTTCTTTCATTTCAAAATCCTAACCAAAAGTAAAAAAAATACTAAATCCTTTTGTGGACTTCTCCTACAAGGCGGCGGACACTTCAACTTCGCGGAGAGAGGCGGCGCCGGCGGGGAGAGGCGGGCGGACCGGTTGGCCGGAGCGGACGGGGGGTCTGGTTGCGACTGGAGCAAATCAGCGCGAATAATGTCGGGATGAAGCTTAGCCGATGCGGTGTGGGGGATTTATGGAGAAATTTTAAAGTGGGGTGGGCCCTTGGCTGAGACGTAACGCTCTTCAAAAATTGCCATTGGCGCAATAGAGGCGCGCCTCAGCCACGTGAGGCGTACGCCTTCACACAGCCCAGAATTGCGCACGCCATGAGGCGTTTTTTGCAAGAATTGCGCAGAGGCGCGCTCAAGGCGCGCTCTTATTGCGCAATTTTAAACCATGTCCTCCACATTCCTGTATTGATTCATGTGCCCCCTTGTAACTATAAATGACACTACAGGCAAAGGTGAAAAATCTTTAACACTAGGACCCCTTCCATAATAAAAACTAACATCTATTCTATCATCGAACTGTCTTTATGATAAATGTTTTGACAATATCGCATTATTCATATAAACACGGATCCCTTCTTTCACTGCCTCCGACACTTAAGCACATTGTGCAACATTCTTGTCAGAGCAAAAAGGGCTCTTTCACTCTTGCAGCCTTCATTGACTCCTTGCCACATCAACTTGCACATTATACCTCAATGTCAAGTCTTTTCTATGACTTTTTATTTCTCCTTACTCCAACCTTTTCTATTAAAAACCAAAGAATGAATATATATATATATATAATATTATATATATATATGCAAATGTTTAAAAAAAAACCTTTATTAATATTGTTAAGAAATTAAATTTACAAAAGAAAAAAAATTAGAGTTTAGAGATTGTTACGAAATAGAGAAAAGATGTCGCGGGGGAAGAAGTAATCTTTGTGAAAGAAGAAAATTTGGCGAGGAGTCGATGAAGACTGCTAGACAGGGGATGATTAGCAATGTGTGAGGAGTGAAGAGATCGCATGAGAGGAGAGGCAACAGTTCTATCCAATGAGCATCAGACTCATGCGAGCATAAGGCATAAGGATTTTTTTTGTTAGTTTTTTTACTACATATATTTGTATAAAAAAATAGTTCTAAATGACACACACCTTAAATATACTTACGCAACGCCCAACTAGAGGTGCACGCCTCACAAAATGTGAAGTGTGTTCCTTTTTGTATTTTTGTTTCAAGATGAGCTAAGACACGCCTCATTATATGCAATTTTAAACAATGATGTACACCATGGTGTGTATTGGACCTAACAATGCCTAAGTAGTGAGAATTGTAAGTAGATACAAGTTATCCAAGCAAATAACATTGGGAGCAAGTTAAGTGAATTCTCATGCAATTGAGAAGTACTGCAATTTCCACACTATATTTCAGGAAGTCTAATTTGGGACTAGGAATATGATGGTGGATTGCTGGAGATAATGATGGTAGAAAGAATCCAACAAGATATGTTTACACGTAGGTGATATATGATTCCATGTTGAAGTTGCAAAAGATGCTTTCTTTTTCTACTACTAAGGCAAAGTATGTTGTTATTACTAAAGAAAGCAAGGAGAAAATTTGATTACGGTCATTCTCAGAAGAACTGGGTCAAATGTATGCAAATAGTGTAACCCGTTTTAACATCAAGAGAGCATTATTCATTTAACAAAGAATTCAGTTTATCATGCTAGGACAAAGTACATTCAATTACGCTATTAATCCATTTGGTTAGCATTGGAGGATAATATTTCAATGTTTGAGAAGATTCTTAAGAGCTTGACTCTAGTTGATATGTTGATGAAGACCATTTAGATCTAACAACTTTAGTTGACCTCCACACATAGTAAAGAATCATTATCGTTGCAATGGAGACACAATGATTGATTAGTTTCTAGAGGGAAATTTTAAAGTTGTACAGCTTAATATATGCCCTACAAAGAAATGTATCATGTAGACTCAATCCCCGATCATAGTAAAATTTGAGGTGTTAAGGTAATAAAAACTCCACAATCAAAATTATAGTAAAATTCTCAATAACGATAACAGAATATGAATTGTATCAAATTCATGGTGAGTTTTCTGAATTAATCTTCTTTTAACTTTATTTAATCTAGGAGTTTTGAACTAGGCCTTGTCTAATTCCCCAACATAATATTCACGAAAGTAAGAAAAAAACTTCCGGCCATTCTACCAACCCAAAGCATATTGGAAGACGATTATGGTATGATCTAATGGAAAAGGGCATGATTGCATTGCATGTTGGATCCCCCATTATTACTGCCAATATGCATCTGTTTGCAAAGCTAGTAGGTTGTTTACTGACAAAAAGTAGAATTAAAAAAATTATTAGCCAAAACAAATTCAAGATTTAATAGATAGATAAGTAATGGTGTCAAATATGCCATACCCCTCTCGAGCCAACAAGGAGCATAGAAGCTGAAGTTCTGCCTGTGGAAGACCAAGAAGGACAGCACGTGGATCCTGCTCATTGTTATCAGTCTTTGAAGAGCATCCATCTACAGTATCAGCAGAAGTAGAAGCACTATTAACCTGCACATTCTGCAAGCTACTTCCTAAACCAGATGGTTGCACCGGAGGATCATTATTCATATGTATATCTTGCATGGCACCCTCTGAGATCAACGGTTGCTCAGATGGTCCTGATTGTTTGGGCAGGCCAGCATCACCCTCAGCATGGATCATGATGACTTCAAGAAGATTTAAGAGCTACGATATTGAAAAAAATAATATTAACCAGGTCATGTAAGCTAATAAATTCAACATAGATGAAAATCCCATAACATAGCACATAGCAGATACCTGCTCAAGATGAGCTACACTTCTCATATATAATGGCTGATTCAACAGCCTAAGAAGCACAACAATGGAGAAGTCTCCCTTCCCTATCATGCCTTCAGGCTTATCTTCTTCCATTATAGCTTTGCCACGTCCTTGATTCAATGTACCCACTTGAGATACTCCCAGACCTGACACCTCATGATGAAGTAAAAGTTTTGCCACATATTGATGATTCCGGGCCAAGAATGTGAGAGTTTCTAGAACACGCCGAGAAACTAGAGGTGGCACTCCTGATTTTACCAAAAAAATGAGATGGCTAATGTAAAGCTAGTATGCCATGAATATAATGAAATAAAGATCCATGAAAAATAATATCCTCAATATAATCAGTTAATAATGATAGGCCATAATTATAAAATCACAATCAGGTGCTTTTAAAATCACACATTCACAAAAAAAATTAAGTTATAAATGGTATTCGTAAACATTCATTCTACTACTATTATCAATCAGTTATAACAAGAGAGTTCTTTGCATCTAGTTATAATATGTGCACTTGAGCAACCAGACCAGAAAGAGGGGAAATATGGGTACCATCTGAGAATTGAGGGCGTGAATACATGATATAGCTCTGGCAGCCAAACAGCCGAAATGGTGGATCAATGTCATCGGCTGTGATATTATTTGAACCACGCAGATCAAGCATCAGCATGTCCATTAGAATTTGCACTAACGATGTTCTGGTATTCTGATGGGCACATAGATTTAAGAGAAGCCTCTGAAACTGACCTTTATAGAGGGGCTGTGCAATTTAGATGTAAACTTGTTAGGGAACAAAAATATCTTTAAGAAAAACTAAATTTTGTAGGGAAAAAAGAAAAAAAAAATTACCTGAACAACACGAAGTAACCTAACCAAGGCTTTCAAGGCATCGGTGTCCACTAGAGGGGCTCCACCTGCTTCAATAAGTTTGTTAACTGCAGACCTGCGAGAAGCAGACTCAACAGCATTCCTGTCTGCATTTGACCCAACCAGGTCACCACGTCTAGAGGGGTCACCACGCCGAGATCTAGACTGCATCCCAAGGAGTGCACTGCTATGATACCTATGCGCAAACCGCTCCCGCAACATATTGGCTTCAGCAACAAGAGCAGGTGTTAGAGTGGCCAATAGGGTATCGGGGGAAGTCAACAGCACCTAGAAATACAAAAGATATGTGAAGTCATATATTGCATCTATCGAGTGACTCGGAGAAGAATATGGCTAAGAAGGAACTCAAAAAAAGAAATTAAAAAAAGTGCAATCAGCACATCAAGTATTGCAATTAAGTAGAAGGCAAGATGGAAATTAAAAAATTCGGGCTTACCTCTTCACGTATTTCTGAAGGAAAAGTAGCTATTATTGAAACTGCATCCATTTCCACAGGTTGCCCTTCCAATTCATGAGATTGACTCTGTCTTTGTGCACGCTGTTGTGCTAGCACTTCTTCTCGAATATCAGGTGGCAGAGCAGCAAGAAATTCAGGATCAATATCTCCCTCTGCTTGAGATTGGTCACCTGATGGCTGACCCACCTGATTCTGCCGTGACGAAAGTACTTCAGCTCGTAACTCCTCAGGAAGAGCCTCTAAGAACGTAGGATCAATTGATTCTGCATCAACAGTTCTGTTAAGTTGGTTCTCCTCACTCAGAGCATTTTGATCAGCTTCTTGAGGACGTGCTGGAATCTCACTAACACATTCCAAAGATGCATCTCTTCCAATTACCGGCATTGTGATCCCTGATGACCTTCTTGCCCTACCGGTTGGCTGCAAATCACCCAAAGGAATCCTCTCAGTTGCGCCTTGCCTTTCACCATCATCATGACCATCCACACTACCTATTTCCACTTCCAAGCTTCGAAGACTTTCTCCTAAGGTGGCCCCGCTCCCACTGCTGGCTTGGCTCACAGCCTCCACATCTCGGATAACTGTATCACTGCGCTCATATTGCATATCACTAACTTGTTCATTTGTACCAGATGTTTCTCTTTCTTGGTTTATATCAATAGCCCCAGATACATCATTAGCATTTCCCGAAAAATCTACCAGTGAAACAGGTGATGAGATTATCATATTGCCATTAATTTCACTTGGCACTGCAGGTGCTTCTCCTGCACCAGATTCTGAATTCTGCAACTGATTGGGCTCATCCCTTTCTTGAGGGACAGATACAGGTTCATCCTGATTTGAGGGTTGATCTGGAATGGGACGCCTTAGCTGGGATACTAGCAACTCCTCCATGCCTTCTGGCACTGAAGGCACACTAGAGTTGCTACGATGATGGCTATCATCCAACCACATGCTGAAACGATGACCATGTCTTCCACTCCGCAATGTTCGAAAAATAGCATCCAGACGTGAAGAATTACTATCATGACGCCTCTCTGAGAAAGCCATGTCAACAGCATTTTCTGAAAGGAAAAAAAAATCAAAATTTCATATATATTCCAAAAGTTGATTCATTTTATCATATAAATTTGACTTTTAATAATCAAACGTAAGCAACTTAAGTTTGACATTGCAGATACATGAGTACAATTAAAAAGAAGCAAAACATATCTTTTCAGAGTAAAACTAAAGAATAGCAAAGTTTGTGAACAGAAGGAAACGACAAATTAACTCACCAGAGTTTCTTCGATGAACCAAGAATGAAGATGGCTCCTCCAGCAGTGGGTGTTCTGGGTTAACACCATGGTCATTGGCTCTACCCAGACGATTGGTCATTGAGGAAACAAACTCTTGGCGCCTTCCGAGAAGAAGTGTTCCGCTAGGAAAGTTATTGCCACCACTGAAAACCTCAATATGATCAAATACGTTCATCCCATTAACACCCTCTTCCAACCTCAGTATGACACCATCATCGTCATCATCCTCCTCATCTTCCTCCAAATCAAACTCTTCGTCAATCTCATGGTCATCATGATCAGTGTCAGGATGCATCATCTGAACATCATCTTCCTCCAAATCATTGTTCTCATCTTCATCCTCATCCTCATCTTCATCTTCCTCAACTTCATCACCATCATCATCTTCTGACATATCCTCATCCTCATCTTCATCACCAATATCATCACCAGCATTGTGTGGCAGTTCAAACGTAATTTCAACAGTTGAAATGCCATTCTCTAGGACCCCACCATCCTCAGAAGTTTCATGCATAAAATCATCCTCTGTTTCACGGGCAAAACTTCCATCCATATCCCGTTCATGATCCATATCATCAGAACTTCTAGAAGTTTGAACTGAATCAAAAGGCTCCATATGCTCTACTGTAGCTTCGGCGTGTTCGGGCTGCAATATAGTTTCTAATGACTGAAATCTATCTCCATCATTATTAGATGAATCTCCTTGATTTTGATCAGAAGCATGATTCAATGACGTTCCACCCTTAGCAGAATCAATTTCAGCTGAATGAACATATTCTTTAGTCACCAATTCCAAAGCCTTGACAACTCCAGTGACTATCTTTGATGAATCAGGATGATCCAAGTCCAAAACGTCTAGTATTCTAGTCAAAGAGTGAACCAACCCAACATCTATAAATGTAATTGATGCCTCTGCAGAAATATGAGAACCCGTAGGTGACCGTGCAGAAAGAATATCATTAAGCAGATCAACAAAACAATGCATACTTGAATCAGGTGCTTTACAACCACCAGCTGCATTGACAAAGTCATTAAAGACATTGCTGATCTCACTAAATACTCTTTTACGCCCTTCTGAAGAGCGAATAGATGAGGCCACCAAAAACTGGTTAGCTCTAGTTGCTAATTTTTGCCTCCAATCTCCATCACCTTTCTTGTCCTTCTTTTGTATTCCCGGATATGGGAGGAACCTGTGAAGAATATGAAAAAAAATTCCCCCACCATTATTAAAAGGTAGTCCTTTTTGAGAATTACGGCTAGTACTAAATTCAGCATCCCTGCGAAGCAAGATATGTATTGATGAAGTGTAAGTCAAAAGTATTTCTGTAAGCAACTTCAAGACAAAAACAGCCTTGGCAAGTGAAGCTGAAGCTTCCTCATTAATAGTTTTGCTATCTTCAGAAGGAAGTGCGATTGCTTTTCCTTTACCCTTAGCTGAACTAGAATCAATGTCCATTTCTGATGGGGGAGTAGCAAGTGAGCTGGCACATGCATCATCAACTTTTGTAGGAATAAATGCAGTAAGTACATCCAGGAGGTGCTCAATCACACTGGTAAAACTTTGGGCAGATTTCTTATGGATCTTAGCATTTCTTGTATTTGAATCTTGCATTTTACTGTGAACAGAACTAGGAGCCACTGTGCTCACATCCCCAGAAGTAGCCTTAGATTCTGTAACCATCTGCTTCTCTTTCTCTGTTGCTTTCTCCTTGTCCTTAGCTTTCTCTTTCTCACGGTCTTTCAGAAGGACAACATAAGGTCTATCACCTACCATTTCAATCTGGCAGACAGCTTGAGCAGCTTGCATGAATACAGCAGGGTCCCGGGCTATGACAAGGGCCAAAGTCTGAACAAAATTACGAGGTGTCAATCTAGAATTTGAATGTCGATTTGTGGCTGTGGCAAGGCTGTGACGGATCTCTAGCTCCATGGCTTGCTGCAGAGTGTGAGGATCTTCTAGAATATGACGGATAATTGCTGTCGCCACAGTATTGAACCCAGAAAATAGACTGCTAGTTGGCAAACAAAGCAAAGCATGCAAACCTCCAGATTCGAGAAAATTAACAGCCACAGAATGAACTTTGGTTAGGGTGGCGCACAGCTGAAGCGCCACATGCATGGTTTCAGAAGGCAATTGGTGCTTTATGCATCTGCATAATATCTCTAGGAGTCTTTTTTTATCATGTCTATCCAAATCCCCAGAAACAAGACCCAACGGAGAAAAATCTTTTTTTCTTGATTCATCAATTAAAACAGGAGTCTGTGCTGAAGAGTTATTCTGCTTCAACTGCTCCAAGTCAAAGGCCTCTGGAGTCAATTTTGGGTCAACCTGCAGCATTCTATCTATAGAAAGAAAACATGCCGTCACCCATTTTGGCACCTGGAGTTTCTGATCACCATACATACTCCGATCCCAGTCTGAGAGAATATCTAAAGAAATTTTTACCAAACCTGCCTTGGATGCAACTTCCCGTGATGCTACATCCTCATGAAGAATCAAGGCAAGCACGTGAAAAAGTGAAGACAATGTTGGGCTGCAGGCATGACTAGTAGTGTTAGTGCAAAGTTTCACATGATCGATGATAAAATTGAGAACTTTTGATCGGTTTTGGCTGTCACTTTGGGAGCAAATCATCAGAAGCAGATCCCGAACAGCAAATGCTGATGACTCCTTTACCCTTAGAAGTCTCATACAATTTGACAACAAATCATCAACACTAGGTAACTGAGCTGTTTCCTCTCCATTGTCAAGATCATTAGCATCCGTAACTTCAACTTCCTTTGATAATGAATCTGAGCTTCCAAGAGACATGGCTAGAGCCCGGGCGAGCTCGGCATCTTCTTGTGGTTCTTCTGGGTGAGAGAAAAGCCAATCTGTTGCAATTTCAACACTATTAGTTCCTGCTTGTCTAAGAGCTTCCTCAGCCCTGGCACGGGAAAACCCCATTTCTACAATCATTGATATAGTTGATTCATCAGGAGGAGGGCCTGCTGTTCGTGAGCCAGTTCCACTAGCATTTCTAACCTCAATACCAGATATGACGTGCTTCATGATGGAGAACACTGCACTAATGAACTCCATATTACATTCAGCAAAATGAGGATGAGTCCAGATGGGAAGTACTGCCTTTAATACTTTAGACTGCAGCACCTTTACAAATGATTCAGCATCTTGTGGATATGGGACACTACCACTTGCCAAAGGTTGATCAAGTAACTGCTTTGTAGAGGAAGACAAAATGAAAGATGATGTCACAAGGTGATCCATCAGCACACAGTAGCTTGCTAATGGCCCATAAATCCAAGAATTATCAGCTTCTTCCTTATCTAGTTTTATGCTTGCATCATCCGTCTCCATGGGGGAAGCTGGCACCCTATTAAGTGTAAAGGGCAGTTGACTGGTTGCTTTAAAAGTTGTTAAGATAGCCTGAAAAACCCCACAGCTATACAGACAACTAACCATGATAGGATTGCAGGACTCTGGCCTGTCAGTTAATACTCCATCAACGAAGTCAATCACCTTACCAAGATATCGGCATTTGGTAGATATGGAGACATCAACCTCAGAAGGGCTAACATACCCTCTGAAATTCAAATGATCCAGCATGATTGAGGTGATTGCAGTGGCAACAGACATTACCGAAGAGGGCAAGACTCCGGGGTTGTTCTCTCGACGAGAGACAAGTAACATAGCTTTCCCCAACTCCATGAATAGAAGGTTCACGTGATAAGAAAGTGAACGCATCATATCACGGCAAGAAGAATAATAAGACTTTTGCTTCTCACCTTCACTTTTGCCACTGGTATTAGCATCTGAAGAGTTTCCTAAAGATTGTTGCGGGTTGGTAGAAAATCGTGAAGCCAAGAAGCTTTCTGAACCAATTCTCCGAGAACCACCAGCAATTCGCCCAAGATCCCTATACATGCTTATAAGATCAGAGAACTGAGATTCAATATTCCAACCAGAAAATCTCCTCCTTAGTAATGGATCAAGGTACTGCCTGAAGTTAAACCTTTGCTCTTCAAACTCGTTAGTGCTTGACTCTGTCCGCTGGATATCATTTGAAGAAGAAGAGCTTTCAAACTCTTTATCAAGATTGGAATCTTCAAGCAGTGGAATTTGCCAGAGAACTTCTCTGTGGAGCTTCCCAATATCTTCTAAGACATCCTTGTTTGAATCTCCAAATTCTGTAAGCAAAGTACTTATCCAGCGGTTATCTTTAGAAGCAGCTAGGAACAGCAGAAATTCAACAATAAATAGAGAGGAATAAATCTCGCTGTCAGCAGCAGTCTCTCGAGACAATAAACATGAGCCAACAACAGATTTAAATCCACTTAAAGCTCTCCTCAGATGTTCCCTAAGAGAGGAACAAAAGGCTCGTGCAAGAGGAATTGAATGATGTTGGGTAAAACCCTTAAAAACAACAGTGCTGTGCAAAGCAATAGGCATGCCTTCAGATGACTGTGTGATGCTTGGCCGCAGTAGAAGTTTCAGGAGAGCTTCAATGCCTCCCTTTTCCACAAATAACCGACATGTTTCAGAGTTCTCCATTGTCCTATGAACAAGTACCATCACATGAAAGATAGATAGTTGGCCAAACTGCTCATCGCTAACACCATCAACAGACAAATCCATGGCGCTGACCAAATCATGACCTTCATTAGTTTTGTCTTCAGAATCTGTTTCCATGGCTGTATTCTCATCTGCCCTCTCAGAAGATTCAGCACATTTATCTTCGCCCAAGGAAGCAAGTTTGGTAATGACTTCAATTATTATTTCAACACCAGTACTTCTCAGTGAAGATACATGCCGTAATAGCTCTTCAACTGCATTTGCTAAAAGAACAACACCTTCATTCATAGCTACTAGATATTTCCTATTTGTAAAGGTGTCCACCAGAAACCGTAAAGCAGCTGTTTCCTTGACTGCTTCAAGCCCTTTACTATTAAGGCAGATGGCACTCATTCCACTGGGAACACAAACAAGTGCTTTGGAGGTAGGCAGGATACCAGAAACCACAGATGACAAGAAAGAATCAGGAAGACCAGCTTCATCCAGAATATGGAAACATGTAGGATCCTTGTGTATGATTTCACTCATAACTGTAACAGCTGAAAAGTATATGTCACCTCCAAATCTATTCACATGGCGAAATATTAGGGATAAGGAGGCAGGCAGAGAATTATTATTGGCATTCTGTGACCTTGTAGGATTTCCTTGAGAGTAAGTAGCAGAACCCAATGCTTTAAGTAACATCTTAATGAGCCTCTTCTGAGAGTACAAGTAATCATCATCATGTCTTACAGAATCACCAATGACCATTGCATTGTTATTCTCGTCAACTGTACCAATAATTTTATCTACCTCAATCCGTAACCTGTCAGACAGTAGTTCTACTCCTCCATTATCTTTGAATATTGATACCGCAGTGCTACTATACTCCATCAACTTCTGAAGCGTTTTCACTGCCGAGCTAACAAGATGCACATGGGCAGGATCACTGTCTGTTAGAAGCGGCAGGAGTGGGGGAACCATTCCAGATACTCTAAGGACACTGCTTGAGCTTGAAGAAGATAACACATGAAGCAGAAAAAATTGCAAGAGAGCATCAACAAAAAAGGGAGCTGATGGGTCACTGGGATTACTGAGTGACGCGATGGCTTTCTGAAGCACGCTCAGCAGTACCATTCGATTACCTCCAGCAGATATAATGCTTGACCCACTCAATATCCTAGCTCTTTCATGAGATGATGCATATGCTGCAAGTTGTGCACCCAATCCAAGCATGGCTAGTGCTTTTATGGTTGCTGGAATAGACTCTTCAGACCGAACAAGTCTGATTAACTCATTCGTATATTCAGGTTCATTAGCAAAAAAGGACACAAGTTCATCATGGGCATCATTGGACTGCACTAAAACAACAAATGAAAGAATACAGATTCGGCTAAATAGTCTGCACATTCTAGGCGAGCGGAATGCACGTGCAAATCTAATCCTTGTCAGCAATGAGAACCGATGTTCAGGAGGCACATTGAATTGTTCAATGCACTCCTTCAATATAACTAGATCATCCTCTTTCCGCATATGCAAATCAGGAATGTTTATTACATGGAGTTTGGAAATTTTGCTCTTCTCAGTTGTCAACACGGCATTGAGAGGAGCAGATGTGCTAAATTCAAAATGAAGGGTTGAACCCAGTCGACACTGAGTTGCATCACATTCATTTTCCACATCCGAAGGAAACAAGCTTAAGCCCTCCTGCTGGTTTCTTTCATTTGCCAGGATACATGAATACAAACCCAAGCCTTCCTCTTTGCTGCCCCATCCCTGGGCCAGAGACAGAAGATGGTTGTTCATAGAGCCACAACTGATCAGCTTCCCACTACCATGTAACTTGGAAAGGTTTATCTTCACCAATGCAGAAAGAGTTTCAAGAGTAGCTATAATGATGTCTGGATCAGTCGATGCAAGTAGAAGCTTGAAATGCTGCCAATAAAAAATTATAGAGGCATGGATTAATACAAAATAAATTGAATTATATCAAATAATGATGCAAATTCAACGTGAGAAGCCAATAAAAAAAATCTTAGGATTATCAAATAAGAATAATGTGTGTAGGTCTAGCAGCACACCTCTAAGCCACTAAAAGGGCTTTTATTGTGGCAATTCTCCAAAATTATCTGCATGACTCTCAAGATTTGTAGAACAGATTGTTTGGGAAAAGGATCTTCATCTAAGCTACTGTCAGAAAGAAGAAGATCTTTCCTAGAAGAAATGTATGTCTTGAAATAAGTATCAAAATGCATAAAAAGTGGTCTCCAATGATGGAAGTTTCCCTGAAAACAAGTTAACAAAGTAACATCATAAGCAAAAGCCAAAAAAAGTAGAGTTATTTTCAGGAAAAGATTATGTGCACCTTATTGTACTCCCACCGAAAACCTGAAAGAGGTATAGCTATATCATGCAATGGACTTTTAATCACTCGATCAATGAATGCTTTGACTTTCAATGGCTGAAACCACCCAGCATTGTAACTTATCAGTACATTAAAAAGGTGTTATATATATAACTTTCACTGTAAAGGAGCAGCACTAAAACATTAAAAAGAAAATAATAAAATATAGAGCATGATAATGTACAGCATGATCCAATTCAAACTGCACCCCAAACTGAATGCATACAGGAGGAAGCCATCAGCATCTTCCAGAAAAGAGGTAATCATCATTAAAATTCAACAAGTGCTAGTGGAATGTTGAGGAAGACAAATTAAATTCAATAATAAGGAACTTGAAGCAACAAAATTCATTAAATAAAATCAACGGAATACAAGATGTTCAATATTATAATTAGAGAAAGCATAGTTTACAAAGTAGCCTACATGCCTTACTGGAAAATTTTCACCAAGAGTCCCCTTTGAAAATCTAATTTGCGAAGGTAGCAGCTTTCCACACTATTATAAGCTGCATATGGAGACCCCATTATCACAGTCAACAAAATGGTGGCAAAAATCCCTTTTTTTGGCTGAGGTCAACACAAATACAAGGATATTCTGGGTTATGTAATACTATTTTGAATGTGTTAGCACGGTACTCTTAATTTGTTAAAAATAAAAATTGTGGAGGTTACAATGATTGTCAGAAATAATTTGTTCTTGGCATGAGTGGTCCCAAACAAAATAACAACAACATCAAGCCTTTATCCCACTATGTGGAGTCAGCTACATGAATCCTTTTTCACCATTGTGTCCTATGAAGAATCAAATTCTCATTTAAATCTAATAAAGAAATGATATTTTTAATATTTTTTAAGCAAGTATTTTTAGGTCTACCTCTACCTTTCTTAACATAAGTTAAATCCAATACATCTACTTTCCTAACCGGCTCCTCGGAAGGTGGCCGTTTTATATGACCAAACCATCTAAGGCGACTCTCTCTAATCTTATCTTCCATAGAAGCTACTCCAACCTTTTCACGTATATGCTCAATTCATATCCTGTCTCTAAGAGTAAAGTCACTCATCCACTTGAGCATCCTCATCTATGCAATACTTAACTTAATACTATGCTTCTCGTTAAATGGCCAACATTATGCACCATAAAGCATTGCAAGTCTCACTACCATCTTATTGAATTTTCCCTTGAAATTGAGGGGTTTTTTTCTATCACACAAGAAGCGTGATGCCTCCACTTCAACCATCCAACATGAATTCTATTAATAAAAACTCCATCTATTTCACCATCACTCTAAACAATGGACCCAAGATATCAATATATTCAATTTTAGATCTACTCAAATTAAAACCTTTAGACACTAAAGTTGACTTCCATAATTCAAGTATACCTTCAACTCCCTCTCCAGCATTATCAACAAGAAGAATATCATCAGTAAAAAGCATACACCATAGTACAACCTCTTGCAAATGTCTAGTGAGAACTGAGAACATCCATGATAAAGCAAATATATATAGGCTTAAAGCTGATCCTTGATGTAATCCAACATAAATAGGAAAATACTTGGTCAAACCACCTTGTGTTTGAACACAAGTAACAGTTCATGCGTATTCTTAATGACTTGAATATATGCATTATTAACCACTTTCTTTTCTAGAACTTTCCATAGCACTTCTCTTAGAACTTTATCATATGATTTCTCTAAATTAATAAATAGCATATGAAGATCCTCCTTATTCTCTCTATACTTCTTCATCAAACATCTCAATAAATGTATAGATTCTATATTAAACCTACCCAGCATGAATCCAAATTGATTTTGAGAATCATTAGTATCACATTGTAACCTATACTCCATAAATCTCTCCCATAGTTTTAAAGTATGACACATTAACTTAATTCTTCTATAATTCGCAAAATTTTCATTACCTTTATTCTAAAAAATAGGAATCAACACTCTAATTCTCAAATCATCTGGCATCTTATTAATCTTCAAAATAATATTAAAAAGTTTAGTAAGCCAAGAAATTTCCTTTATCTCCTAAATATTTCCACCTCTATTGGAATATCATCAAGTCCAACAGCTTTTCCACCATTTATTTTCTTTAAAACCTCTCTAACATCAATTTTACTAATACGCCGATAAAAATGAAATCTTTATTTTTACTTAGAATGCATATCACTAAAATCAATCGTATTCTCACAATTTTCATTGAAACATTTAGCAAAATATCTCATCCAACATTGTTAGATATCCTCTTCTATACTTTTTGATCTTCATCCTTAATGCACCTTACTTAAACTAAATCCTTACTACTCATATCTCATTCTTTGGCTAACTTATACATATATCTTTCACCCCCCTTAATATCTAATATATTATATAAATCACTAAAAGCTAAAATCTTTGTATCGTATATTGCATTTTTAAGACTCCTTACGAACCTCTTTATATATTTTTCAATTATCAGAGTTTTTACATATAAACCAATTTTTAAACCAAATCTTCTTATTTTTATCTTTTCTTGTATATTTTGATTCCACCACCAACTATTTTTATTACCATTAGCTTTTTCCTTTGATACTTCAAGCACATCTTTTGCAAAATTCATGATATCACTAGTTATTTTTTCACACATAATATTAGCTTTCCCATTCACAGACAAAATCATAAAATCTAGAATCTTACTCTCAAAAATATTTGTGTTATTATTTGTTAAATGCCCCATCCAATCCTAGAACAATGGTTTACTTTATTTTGTATATTTTGTCCATTCATCTTAATGTCTAAAACTAATAAGAGATTTGGATACATAAACTTTCACTTGAAATAACTTTATAATCTTTACAATCTAAACAATATATTTTTATAAGAAAATAATCAATATGAGTTTTATTATATTCATTCTTATAAGTGATGAGATATTGATCTCTTTTCTTAAATAAGATATTAACAATTACAAAATTATAAACTATAAAAAAAAATCTACTATGGTCTTACCAGCTTAATTAGTCGCACCAAATTCATAGCCACCATGAATGCTTTTACAATCATTTACTTGTCTACCTACATGTCCATTTAAATCTCATCCAAAAAAAAAACTCTTTCTTCATTATATATTTTTTGTATTAATTCATCTGAATCATTCAAAAATTTTAATTTTGAACACATATCCAAACCTACTTGAGGAGCATAAGCACCTATAATATTAATAATCTTAGCATCAATAAAAATCTTTAAAGCTATAATTTTATCTCCAATTCTATTAATTTTTAAAACATTATCCTTTAAACTCTTGTCTATAATCACACCTACACCATTTCTAGCACAACTATCATAATACCATAATTTAAATCATAAGCTATCAATCTCATTAGCCTTCTGTCCAACTCATTTATTTTCCTGAATGCATAGAGAATTTATCTTCTTATGAATTATAATATTTATTAATTCATTTAATTTTCTTGTAAGGAAGCTATATTTTAATTTCCTATTTAACTTTAGTTTCATGGACAAGTTTCTTTGCCCACATCCTCCATGATGTAAGAACTCTTACCTATTTAACACTGCACCCATACGTCGATGCAACGGCCCTTGTACACTTCTCGTTATATTCTGTCAATGTAGCATGTCGCTTACAGGGAACGCTCTAGCATTAACACATATAATAATGATTCATGTTATAATTATTTGACAAGTTTTACAATGGCTATCAACTACCTAACGCAACCATCCAATTTTCTCATCTAGGACTTTGGACCTGGCAATGACAGTATTTTTAAAAAAACCTACAACGACATGAGTGATCCAAACTACTACATATTTATTTCAAAAACCTACAACTAGAACCTTTTACTTGGTTTTTTTTTTTCCTTCACTCGGCCTTCCCAAGAACTGCAAGACATAGAATGATGATTCTGCATGAGTTGGCTATACTACTAGTATAAAAGTTGAATCCCAATAAGCATGGGAACACAACAGGTCACAATTGATCATCAGCAATGTGATGTGTTGTCAAGACCAAGATCTCACCAAAAATTCCCTCGATGAGTCTTGGACTTGGATTACATCCAAAAATATGTGATCGAGGATCGTTCAAAAATTAAATCAAAATTTTATTTGAATTGAGATGCGATTGCAATGAATAACATGACTAATATGGCCTATGTAGGGCTCCAACATAGATTACTTTGAGTTAAGCCCAAAATGAATCAAGCAACCCCAAGATAAGATCAAAAAGCATACAAAAAATGTAGATATAATCCAAGCATATGTATATGTGTATATATGTATATGTATATGTACATGTGTATGCATATATGTATATGTATATGTGTGTATATATATATATATATTAGACTAGTATGGGAATGGCTTGCAAAATAGAGGCGGAATCTCCGCCTCCTGCAGATGTCACGCGATCCAAACGCCCAGACGGAGCTGTTTAGGAAAGATTTTTGAGGGATTTGGGAGGGAAATTTTAATGTAGGGATTGTTTATATATTTCCTTTTGAATTGTATACATTAAATAGTTTGTTTTCCTAGGGTTATGAAATCTTGAATTTGGCTGAAATTTGAGCTCTTAGGTTACTTTTGGGCTCTAGCGGCGTCTAGAGATTTGGGAAAGATAGATCCTCCTCTCGAATAGAGGATCAATTGTATCTTGCTATTTTTCATTTCTACTTCATCAAATAATACAAATTATCTATTATTTTAGTGGTTTTGTGGGGATTCTTACGGAGAATTTTTGTTGTTTTCCAAAGATTAATAGGAAATTCTTGAGATATTCAAGTGTTTCCTATCAATATATTAATCATATAGGTATCTATGTATCAATACATATGTATTGCAAATGTAAGAGTGCTTGTTTGCAAGCTAGAAAAATAATTTATATTGAAATATTGAAAAACAATCAAATGTAAATTGAATTTTGGCTTGGAACAAAACACAATTTTAAATAACTTGCCAAACCTGACTTTAATGGAGAATAAATTAAGACATTCTATAGCTTGGTCTGCCCGACAAAGTCAGATCAGCTTGTTGGATAATTTACAACCCTGAC